TTGCGTCGGCCGGTATCCAGGACATTTTGTTCCGCGCCTCACGCAAGTATTGCATTCTGGTTTGGTCTCGTCGCATCGTACTTTCCTCTTCCTGCACTCAAAGCAACCTGCCGACCTTTTTGGCATGATCAGACCACAAGCGGGGTATCCACCTCATGAATGTCGGAGAGCCACGGAGTGAAGATGCTGCGACCTGATCTCGTTTCTGTTTCCTCAAATGTAATTGAACTGCTTGGTAGTTTCGTTTTCCGATCTGGTGGCGAGGACAGCGAAGAGAACAACGACCACTCACCAGAGGCGCGGCCGCTAGAGGAAGTAGCCAAGAGCCGTCTCGTATCCAACGGTGTTGACCAATCAATAGCCACGGTGTTGACGCTATGGCGGCTGGCTTCCAAGATTCGCAGCCTTTCCCGCATGTGCTTGCCCTCGCATACTCACGCTCAAGTGGTGAGGGGGGGTAGGCGCTTGTGTAATTTGTCCTTTCCAAGATGTTCCCTTGGCTCAGCAGGTGTGTTATTCCAGTATAGTCAAACGGAACAACCTCTCAATCATTTGAGCCTTCCATCTCTCACGTCTCTCTGATGCAGACCGAGGTTAAGAACTTTGAGCCAGCAGCTATCACAGGGTGGCAGCCCCTTGTTCATTCGAACCTAATGTGGTGCACGGCTCCGCCGGGCCTGCGCGGAGCTGCGGGCGACTCACGCGACGAGCAGGAGTTCGGGGGGCGGGACGTCAACGGGAGAATGGCTCGAGGACCTCTGGCGCATGGCAACATCGGTTTAAGGTGAAAGAAAGGGAAAGGAAGCCGTTGGAAGCCATGTCGACGGAGGCTTGTCATCCGTTCACAAAGGGCCTACCGATTGGGGCAGGATTACCGCACACGTCGACAGCAACAGTGAGGGAAATACAAAATTGAGCTTCGACTTCAAATTTAGGAATAAGGCCACAGTATTATACGATCCGCTGTTGCGACACCCGTTGTCGTCCCGAAGGATCCTACGGCACGTGTGGCGTCTTCATGTGGTAAGGCTTTGCGCATCGTCTCCGCTTATTTATTCTTTAGGAAGCGACTGCGAGCTTCCCGCACCACACATTACGCCCACGCCTGCTGGCTCGTATACTATCGCGGGACATTCTCGGCGCGCGATATGGTAGCACTGCTTGTAAGCGGCGAGACAGCGACGTACAAGATGATGAAGCCGGTCGCGACTCTATTCACTCCAAACAGCCGCTGATCAGCGCTATCTACGCATATGGCGCTGACCTCTTACGATAAATTTGCTACTATTTTCCATCAATTCCCCTTCACATACACAACTCACAAGATGCAAAGACAAGTTGAGGTGGATCAACAATGATTGGATTCCATTCAATCTACGAAGTACCATTCTATTGAAAAGCTAGTATCTGCTTCAGCTAGACAAACTTATCAGGCACGTCTATCAAAGACTGATAAGAGTCGACACGGCCATTCCACCCGAACTTCCTCGCTCTGTTGATACCAAACGCGATCATGTGCGTTGAAAGACTCAGTCCTAGAAAGCCAAAGTACCAGTCTCTTAAGCCGCATTTGCTTTAGGTTGACCATGCTTGTCGCGGATGCGATCCAAATGTTTCTTGCTTATCCGCAGCCCATTCGCCCAAGCTAAGGTCGAGTTACGTGTCTCCTGCTGAGGGCGAGGCTTGCGGAAGACTTGTTCCGGCGAGTCAAACCTGACTACACGCCCGCAGTTGCCCATTCTACATTTGAGACTCATGATTTCGACATAGAGCATTAGGATCATAATTACCTTGATTCAAAAGGGTATGAGAGTTGCTGGAATGTGGGTAGGACTAGTCATTGTAGACTTTGCAGTCATTGAAGAGTTGCTTGCTGAATGCAACATGTCCTTGGAAGTCAGGTTTTCGACTATTGGTTTGATATCAGCCAGTGAGTATAGGTAGGAAACATCAGCCCGACTCTAATATACAAAGTACTAACTGGGCTACTCGGAACATTACGTGGACGCTGATCTGGTCAATGCTGAGACCGAAGTGTCGCATGTACCCGCTGGACCTCAGGCACCAAGATCTGGTCACCACCTATTCCAGGTGTGTTCTATCCAACAGGTCACTTTATCTATATTCGTATATGAGGGCACGAACACCCATGTTTCACTAAAGGTATAGTTGAAGGTGAACCGCAACCATACTTCTCTACACATCATCGAGCTGCTTTGCTTTCTTCTTGTGAATCAGCGCTGCAGTCAAGAAGCACGTGAAGCCCAATACGCCGCACGAACCAGCAAGCACTTGTCCATACAAGTAAGATCCGTTGCCAGCCTCGACCAATGCTCCTCCACCAGGACCTCCAATGAGACATCCGAAACTAGACAGCGCAAAACCCATGCCCATTCTGGTACCGATCTTCTTGTTGTCCAAGGTCAGATCTGCTAGTGTTGCAGGAAACATGGCTTGCAAGGCCGCAGCAAACAAGCCGTAAAGCGCCGCAAAGGCATACATGCCTGCAGTCGAGTTGATCGCAGCCCAGCAATAGAGAAGAAGAGCGGTGACAAAGCTGACGATTAAGCTGATGGTCAATGGCCGGCAGTAGTGATCGGCAATGTACGCAGGCAATAAGCGCCCCGGTATGCCGACGCCGTTCAGCACCAAAAGGAGCGGTATTGATTCTTCCAGTGTCATGCTCAAGGTTCTTCTGGCGAAGGCATTGATCTGAAAAAGATCAGTTATGTGACTAGAGATGAAATTGAATCGTACTTACGTAGAAGAAAGCGAACCATAGACCTGCGAAACAAAAGACCGATCCAAGGATCTTAGCGAATTAGCATAGTGTAGTTGAACTTTTGAATCGAATCACATACGAAGAGATCAAACACTGGATCCTTCAGCTCACTCGGTTCGAGCATCTTCACCGAGCTTTTTGGCGGGAGTCGTTTCTTCAGCAGCCGCTCCGCAATCAACAGCATGACCAGCGCCATAAAGCCCAACGTCCTTACCGCCCATCCAAATCCGATGCGATCGATGAGCCTATTGAGCATTATCGGGATTACCAAACCCCCTGTTCCCGATCCACATAGTGTGATACTGATCGCAAAACTTCGCTTCGTCGCATCGAAGTAGGTCGAGATAACGGAGACCATAGGGACAAACATACAGCCATTTGCAAGCCCAATGCAAAACCCCTGCGCAAGTACAAATTGCCAATACTCTTTGCAGATGCTTGTCATAAAGATGCCAACAAGCCACAACCCGATGCCCATGCGTAAGACAAGTTTGAAATGGCCAGTGTCCGATGCGGCGCCCGACCAGAGAGGGACGGATAGTAGGAAGAAGACGGTAAGTGCGCCGATCCATGAGATGTTGGAGGGTGTCGAGAGACCGATTGAAGTGTAGTGTGCCTGGAACATGCCAAACGATGTGATGAAGCCCCAGGTAAAGAAGGTGATGATGTGCCCACCTAGCACTTGCGACCATGCGACCCATCCGCCATTGGGAGGCGGCTCGATGGACACAACTCGCGTCACATCAAAAGTCGCAGATACTTCTTGTTTGGTCGGCCTGAAATCCTCCTCTTCTATATGATTGAACTCCTCAGCCGGTGGATCTGGCCCGATAGCTGCCATCTTATCGCAAGCCGAAGATGTTGTTAGGGTGCAAGAAACACGACCCCGGATATTTGCTTCCCCAGATCCATATTTTGCTGAGTCACAACCTGTACGAGCTTGCAAGTCTACGAGTTTGCCGAAGTTAGCAGGCTCATTTTCCCGAAATTATGAGGTAATTGAAAGGAATTGGTGGCGGAAGAAGACCGCGGCGGTTATTGCCGACGGTTTATTGCCGACGGTTTATTGCCGACGGTTTATTGCCGACGGGCCGAGCAAGTACGTCGGATGCGACACGCTCTGCCATTTCAACGTGCTTGAAGCAATACAGGCAGAGAAGACACACGAACCGCATAGTCAAGAATGCCTACCTGATTTAGCATTTGCAGTCTTACTCCAGGAACACATGGTGAGCAAGACCCAGCACCCTGCCTACTCGTGCCTCGGCGGTCTACCCCAAGGGAGCAAAAAACTGATGCGTAGGTAACGATCTGTACGTTCTACACTCTAGCAAAAACAAAAACAAAAACATACAACAGCGGGGATTCGCTAGTGGTCACCCACCTAACTACTAATCCGCCGGTACACTGCTTGTATATGGCTGAGCGGACGGGAAGCCTAATTTTCAGTGTCCTATGGTCGTATGTGAAGGAACTGGTTGTTCTTCGTATTATGACCTACAACGTAATGTTGCTTAAGCCGCTCGGAATGCGTACACAATCATGATACGGGCAATCCCTCACCTGCGCGCTATGTCAAGAGGTATTTAGGTCTTCCTGTCAGCTACTGATAGTCCAAATCAAACAAACCATCAGATTATAGGGTTATGTGGTTGGCCGGATCCGTGAAGCGCAAACATCATTCTCTCATCCTTGAAGCACCATCCATCATATCAAGTCGCGTAAAACCTCTATTACTCCATCACTTTAGAATTATCGAGAGACTCCATATATCTTTATAGCACGCTATGTACTAATATTCACGTTTTGTATTAAGTTTGAATAGTAGTCTACATTGCATATCTTCCAAGGACCTTTCCGCATTATGATGGGGAGATCGCGATGGAGATAGATTTTTGGTTGAGTCTTCGCCAAAGTCGGCCACTCGCCCGTCTTGTGTGTCAAGTGCAAGCTCATTCTGACTCCCATGTGAACACTAAGTACCGAACACGTAGTCTATGAACACATATGGTCCTATCAAATGGCATGAACACACGAATTCCTTCCCTATAAAGTATCATGGTACTCCTCTAGGTTGCCGAACCTGGCGTACCAGAGTGAAGAGCTAGCGCTCACTCAATTGGCCGAAAAGCTTTATCTTTACTCTTGGTCTTCTTGAATTCTCCCGAGCACACAACATATCACTACTACCTTCGATACCTTCTTCCGTACAAGAACAATGTCCACAAGCATCCTATGGATGAACAGCCCATGGCGTAACCCCGCGATTGTTTTCGAGGACCTGCCAGAGTCGCTCATCCTTGAAGACCTAAAACGATCGTGGCACTTCCAAAGAGAGGCACACTTCCGCTGGATGCAAAAGTTTATTTGGACCACGAACGACTGCTATCGCATTGTCCTTCGTAACGTCGAAGGCATGGTAGGCGACATAGCAAAGGAGATGTGCAATAAGCCTACAACTTTCTATTGGCTTCAGTCTGCGCAGAAAGGTGCACCCGATGCCGCCGAGAAGTCTAACATGGCTGGTATAGTCTTTGCAGCTATATACGAAGAATGGCATGGAAGCTCTGTTGGGCCAAACATCGAGTTTGGTCATTTCTTCGCAGCACCCGTTCGAATTACAGCTACGGGCCCATCGAGCCTACCACAAATCTTGAGGGCACATTGATCGCTTTTTGCTCAAGCACAGCACATCTCTCCGAACACGGATAACTATTCGGTGCATCCTCTTCTTCCTGCTGTCATCCTTGTATGCGACCGACGTGACTATAGGGTTGAGCGACGAGATGGTTGCTTCAGTCTTCGCGAAGTGGCGAGCACGCAGACTGTGCTAGTCGTTCTTACCGAAATAAGTCGAATCAGCACCGATGTTCACGTTACTCTGGATCGTCTCGAACAATTCGCTTTGCCCATCGAAAGAGCCGATGCCACTGGCCTTAATGTCCTGCGAGTGCCCCTGGATATTGCTGTCAATTTTGTCGTTGAGTTGGAGGGTAGGATCGACGAGCAAAGGAAACCAAGCATTCAAACCTTAGACACAAGCCTCTGTTGTCACGCTACACCTGTCGGGTGCAATCACGAGATCACGAATGATCCAGACACATGGGCTGAAACGATGCGAGCAGAGGCAATGAAAATTGGGTTCAAAAAGTTGGAGGATACGGAAAATGCTGCCGTACGCGTCCATGCACACTTTTCCGGACAAGATTCAGATTACGAGCTAGAACACATACCCTTTAGCCAGTGGTGGAAACCCTGAGCCTACATGCGTTTTTGGTTGATCTTTCCATGTGGGATCAATGCACACGCCGAGTGCAAAGCTTGGAATTGGTTTCATTAGCAGTGACTGGAGAGCTGGTGAATTTCAAAACGTAAGGATATCAACTGCATCTATGCTATCCAGGGATCTTGTTCCACCTTTGGATGATTCCGTTGCTTTGGTATCCGGGTGTGGGAGAGCGGAAAGAAGGAAAGAGGGTCGGAGAATTGAAGGAAGGGGGGATAGAGGAAGGAAGGAAAGGGTGAAGAGAAAAGAAGCTACAAGTGTAAATTTTGAAGAAAGAGCTTCTCGAGATAGTTCCTACCTCGCATAAGAAGGATGTTGTGTTTACTATAACTTCTAAGCTTTCTCATCTGTACACTACAGCATAACGTTCGCAGAAATGTCCTCACAAAGCCCTCTTGAAGTCTACGAATCGGCGATTACGAATGAAAAGAGGCCATGCAGAGAGCTAGCAAGTTTCGAAGCGCAACCGCCCTTGTCTGCCTCGCTCGCATCGTGCGGCTACGGGATCGTGTCGGGGAGGTTACGCTCCAACGCTGAGAATGCGCTTCGACCAATGCTACTATCTTGCGGAATTATAATCAATAATTCGAAATTCGTCGAAATTCGCTCTGAAGGTGTATCAGAGGATGATGATGCCGCTTATGTCAACTGGTTCGACCCAGATCACGGACTCATAATCTGTAGTGAGAACTACAAGTCGAGAGATCGACACACTGGGGCCAAGATGATTTGGCCGTCAAATGTTCTCTGGCAAACCTGGAAAAGCACCGCTTTGGAAGCCGGAAAGCGGGCTTCAGACCTTTGTGCAATCGTTCGTCAGACAATCATCAATGAAGAATCAAAAATTGCCATATGGCAAGCTTCAAAGCATTCGTCGTTCTCAAGAATCGAGAACCATGACCACGTCGAGTACACCAGCCTAGACAATGGCTTTTATGCCATCTTGGGTACTCCAACGGAGCCAGCACGATGCGGATGCTTCATGCCCACAAACAGAATTGAGTCACCCCATCGTCGAGAAGGTTCTGGTTTTCGGGAACGAAACCCTTGAGATGGAAACGCCAGAGACTCGCAGCATGGCAATCATCCTTTCCGATCGTCGAAGCCCTCCGTCCCTCCGTCCCATTCCCGTTTCGTGATGAATAATGCGAGATGTTGTCGCATGCTGTTTTGGAATGAGCATCCACCAGCCAAGACACTACAACTCGTCGACAGCAGAGCAAAGGGAATTCTATAAGCAGATGTATGCTGCCGTACTGCCGAGCGTCAGGATTCAAGCTCATCGGAGGGCCTGGCGGAGGTGGCACCAAGCAAAGATATCAGAATACCCGGTGGCACCTTCGTGCCACTACACCCACATGTGGCTAAACTACCGTTAGTACTAACTCGAAAGAATCGAATTTCTTGCTAACTTCTTCTTCTAGTAATCCTCTGGTATCATCCTGGCTCAAGGATGCAAGCAACCGCAGCGATTACTCGGACACTTATGCAGGGCAAAGGGGATGGAACCACGCCTCCCTCGCTTTAGCACGTCCAACAGCGTGGAGTAAACCATTTCGATACTCTGGGGAACGATCAAATTTAACGGGCTCGTATACTGGATGTATTAAAGCAGTCGGCCCTTGCTTCAACATGTAACCCCAGGTACACCTCAACGAACCCTTACGCTCTTTTTGAAGTATCAAGTCCGCCTGTGGTCTCCACTTCCACACTCTTCGATCACTATACATCATTATACATACCTAGTACTTAATCATGTCGTTCAACATCCGCAATGCCCTGACTCTGGGTGCCTTCTCTGCACTCGCGGCAGCCCAGACTGTACCCCCGAAGCTTGACGCAACTTGCGCTGATGTAGTCATCTTCATGGCTCGCGGCAACGACGCACCATACCATGACGGTCGCACATTCCCCTTTGTCGAAGCTACTTGCGGCAAGTTGACTGCCCAGGGCAAAAGCTGCGATTACATCGACATCCAGTTTGACGTTACTCTGGGTGGTGACTACTGCAACCAAGTTGCTGAAGGCGCTCGCAATGGTATCTCTCAGATTACGGCCTTCCATGAGAAATGCCCTTGCTCGCACATCGTGGTCAATGGCTACTCAGAGGGAGCGCACGTCGTCGGTGACGTGCTTGGTGGACCGGTAAGCTTCTTATCACTTGGGTCAATCGCATGGAGATACATACTGACTCAATGTTTCTATATAGGGTGGTTGTACTTTTGTCTCTACCGGTCTGGATAACAACTCTGCTGCTGGTAAAGCGGGTAAGCAGATTCTTCGATGGCGTAGCTTTACCCATGCTGACATACACAAGTCGCGGCAGCTCTTCTCTGGGGAGACGTGATGCATACTGCCAACCAGCCCTACAACGTGCTCGACGGTGCCGACAAGCAAGCCAACGGACGCAAACCAGAGGATCTCGCACGCCTCAACCGCTACGCACCGGTGCTCCGCTCTTACTGCGCTGCTGGTGACCCAGTCTGCGCCGGCGGTAATATTGTGGCCGACCGTAAGTGTTCTTGTACGAACTGCATGTGAGACATACACTAATTTCGTACACCAACGTTTAGACCTAAATTACTTTGAGCTCTACACCGACGACGCTTCTTCCTGGGTTGTTTCCAAGATTGACAGTGTCGCGCCTCTGCCGTCGTGTGCCGTGTCCAGCTCGTCCGTTGTCTCTTCGGCTACTAGCGCTGTCGTCACCCAGTCCTCCGCTGTTGCTCCTACCCTATCTTCCATGGTCACAGTCACCGCTACACCCACCATGGTTGAGTCTTCTGCGACCGAGACGCCTTGCTCGACTTCGCCTGCAATGGTATCCCCGTTTCCCTCGCCCGTCCCATACAACCCAGGCTCATGCGTCCTGGAAGTCCATGTAGAATATGCATACGTTTAAAGTAAGGGAATGGATAGCGAGAGAGAGGATGGAAGGATCCTGGGTGTCGAAACAATGTATGAGAAGCGCATCTTGCAGGAGCAGCAGTATTGTGACAATATATGACGCGCGTCATTCACGCGACAAGTTAGCCCTTACTTACCTCCGGTTCATTTATATCACTATGAAGTCTCCACCGTGCGCAAGACCTGAGCGTTTACCGAGAATAGCTCACTTTTAGCATCTGGAAGTAGGCCACTATTCTTGATCCTGCGCTTGACGTGGAAGCGTGCCATGCGGTGCGGCTGAGGAAAGAACGAGCAAGCCTTGTTGGTGGATGACGCTGGAGTACGTCCGCGAAACCAAGACAAACTGTCCGCAATGACGAAAATAGTTAACAACGATGATGATTGAGGAAGATCGCGAGTGGTCGCAGCTGGCGTTGAGGAGAAGATAGCTCCGAACCAAAATCTTGGCATTCCCGCGGACTTCGCTGTACGTCATTCCTCACTAGATATATGTCCAGCCAAATCCCACTCAGGCAGCATCACCGCTCTGAAGCGCTTTCACGATGCATCGAGTACGACCGCGACTCAGCGCCTTCCGCCCTTCGTCTCGTTTGCCCCAGCATGCACACCAACCCTTCCGCACCCACTCACAAACACGCGCCTACCAACAACTCCCCTTCGGCGGTCGAGGCAATGGCCCCCAGTACAAACGCTTCAGCGCACAGTCTGGCGGTATAACTGGTCTCCTGTATCGCTGGGCCCAACGCCCAACTTTCTACCGCGACGTTGGCCTGATCAGCGCAGGCACCGGTGGCGTTTACCTGTACAACCTCGAACAAGTGCCCGTTTCCGGTCGCCGTCGGTTCAACATCATCTCACCTGGTATCGAAGAAGCGCTGGGGCAGCAATCCGTCGAACAAGTCCGACAAGAATACCAAGGCAGGATATTACCGGATAGCGATGCGAGAGTCCGGCAGGTGAAGAGGGTTCTGGAGCGGTTATTGCCGTATGCCGAGGGTGAAGGGCTCAAAGATCTGAACTGGGAAGTCACAGTCATCGAGTCTCCGGAGCAAAACGCTTTTGTTGCGCCTGGGGGGAAAGTCTTTGTTTTCACAGGGATTCTGCCGTTGTGCAGGGACGAAGATGGCATTGCGGCGGTGTTGGGCCATGAGATTGCGCATGTCGTTGCGCATCATACCGCGTTAGTGTTCATGTTCCCTTCCCTCGAATGTCTTGAAGGCGTATTAACTGGAATATAGTGAACGCATGTCCCAAGCCCCTTTGATTCTCCTCGGCGCCCTCGCCCTATCTATGTTCGATGTGTCCTTCTACTCAGGCAAAATGCTCCTCGATCTCTTCCTCTCCATGCCCGCATCGCGCAAACACGAAGCCGAGGCTGATTACATTGGCCTCTTGATGATGGCGCAAGGTTGCTATCGACCAGAAGCCGCGATGCAGTTCTGGACGCGCATGGAGAAGGCGGGCGGGGCGGGCCCGCCGCAGATACTGAGTACACACCCGAGTCACCACAACAGAGAGGAGAAGATTAGAGAATGGCTACCCCAGGCTATGGAGAAGGCTGAAGCGAGCGACTGTGCAGTCACAAGTCAACTAGCTACTCAGTTCAGCTCCGCGATTGATGGCTTTGGACGTTGGTGAGGTATTGCTAAATTTTGGGCGTCAAGGCGCTTGTACTAACACCCTGTATAATACTGCATGAGTATACTAACACCGAGTAACGATAACGACACGATAATGAATACTTTCTCACACTTGGTAGAAGTACCCGGCTTGAAACACGATCCTCGATATAATGTCATAATTTCTTATACTCTACTATCCTCGGCACACCTGTTCTAGTCAAAACACGCACGTCCGCTGTCCTTGTTACGCCAATACTAGGCCTACCCATCGATTCCGGATAGACTGAATCCCTCTCCCCCACGTCCGATATGCTATCATCAAAATAACTGTTTCCCATATCCATAGCCTTTCCCATCTCCTTCTCTGTAACCGTCAGTCTTCTCTCCCCATCAAAGTCAAAAGCGCCACCCGTTCCCTTCTCGAGGTCGTCATCGTCGATGCTGACCAAGTTCTTTTCCCCCCAACTCCCCCGGTACCCTGGTATGGTGGGTACTTCAGAAGGTGTGGCGGTTCGGTGGGGGCAGTGGAAAACTTGCTTAAGTAAAGGAGAAAGGGATGGAAGAGACGCGGCAAGTATACCGATGTCAACTTCGATTTGAGACCATACTGGAACCCACGACCAGCCCCTGTGATTGGTATGTTAGTTGATTTATTAGTACGGGAGAAACATCGGAAGTGGACGTACCAGCTGAAATCCACTTCTTGCCAAGTACTTCCTGGTCTGATGGGACTGTCAGACATGACAATCTCGCAGAGACGCATGGAACTGGCTACAACTGGGATGACGCCGATAGAGAGAATGACTGCTAGAGCCGCTGAAAGGATGATCAGCATTACGCATTTGACAACTCCACACGTGCGTTGACTTACTTCTTTGTCTCTTGTTGAACTTGATTACCCAGATCAACGGCAAAGGGAAGATCAACAACACGATATCTGTAACGACATTGATGGCACCCGAGATGACCATGAACATGGCGGCATTGATGCATCCATCGGGTTGAGCTTCGATGTCCCAGACGCGCGATACTGGTGTGCAGATGAATAATTGGGTCTTTCAAACATGTTAGTCATAATCACTATACATGCAAGGACGGTGCTTACGAGAAAGACGGAGAAACTGAAGGCAGTCATGAAGGCAGCTACGGTCCACACAGCGGGCGACTGTACGATCCACGGCAAACCCTGTTTGCCATATCCAATCCGGTAGTAGAGAGCTAGGATACTCATCTTGACAGTCCTGCAATTACGTTAGCCCTGATATTGTGTAGGAAGAGCGATGGTGCGGCATACCAGTTCGCCACAAAATAGATCAACATATTGATCCATTGGTACTAGTCGGCTGTCAGTACGAAGTGAAATGCCTCAATATGAGTTGATAGTACCATGAGCATCTCATCGAACTGCTCAACGTGTAGCTCCGATGCGTGTCGTCCTTGTCCATGTTCGATCTGTAATATGATGGTAACTGTTTGTGCAGCTCCAAGTGTGACGGCGATGGCGATAAAGAGGTCGTCCAAGCCAAATTTCTTGACTATGTATCCGCGAGTAAAGCATCTATTAGACATCAGCAATGCGATACCGGGTTACCACAAAGTTGCGTCCTTACCGAAGAGCCACAACTGCCACTGCCATTGTGTACATGGCCATGCTGACTCGGCTTATTACCGGCCCCTGGTCACGTCCGTTCGCGACATACACGATGTGTCCCATTGCGAGTTCGGTACGTGGCTGAGCTATACGACGTTCGAAGGTTTGACATGAGGCTGCGAGAGTTAATCTTACAATGGCGCAAAGATTCCAAAACGCCCGACTGGAGAAGAGGAAAAAAAGAAAGAAAGTAAAGGATGATCGTCAGACTAGAGTGCCAAATGGGACCTGCACACATCTAATACAGCGTGGATAAGTTACGACACCGAAAGTGCGACAGCGCGATCGGACGTTGCAAGACTCCTGCTCGGCATGATTGACGCGGCGCTGCTTGAAACTGAGATTACCTTCCAGAAGCATATCAAACGGTGCACAAAGAGACACGCGGCCTGTGCATACCTCTTCTCGGCATCGGTATTGTGGATTGTCGCGTGGTAATGGTGCGGCGCGCCCTGTCGCAGCGCGCATCTCGAAACCTTGTTTAGACCCACGATCCCGGGACATTGGGTATCGGAAGTATGTTGGAAGACATGGCCTCGGGTTCCGAGAACCGCAGCCTGAACGAATGGTTCGAGTGTTTATGAGATAGAACGCGATTGGCCGTGTGGTGCACAAAGCTAGACGGGATATCCCAGTGTGGTTGGTGAAGCATCGCAATGATGGCATAAACGTGTTCTTTGGTGTCTCAGGAGATCGTTGGACAGAAGACTTTAGGCATATTAGGACGCGTGCCAGAACCTGGAGCTGGGTAGTTTATGGATTTGCATCATAGTGCATCCGTTGCCGATCGCTAGTTTTGTGTTTTCGATGGAAACTTGACAGGTGAAGTCAAAGCACGTGGCCCAGGAGAGGGCTAGCCACTGAACATAGCTCACCGGGCGTGGAACAGGCCGAAGACAAAACAGAACGGTTCATCATGGTCGCGATGGCAGCAATGTTCGAAAAGACATAATTATCCGATGTAGCTCCTTAAGCAGCACTACCACCCAGGTACCTACAGGCATAACCTTTTTGCTGTCTTGCGCATGTGAAGGTGTCTGAAGATCCACACCGCCACCTTGAGCGATATGCAGTCGCCACTGACGCTCGCGATGGCTACATCAGGATGCGTCAGCTAGAAGATGATGGCGCTGGTTGTTGCTGGTGCTGGGAGAAAACGAGTGAAGCTTACTTCCGTAGTGCTTGGGGTCGGACCATGCGGTGGAGGATCGCCGCGGAGAGAGCTGTCTTCGGTTACGGGTGGCTAATGAGGCCGTTGTGGTGGGCCAGCCTGTGGACATAGCGCGAATAATGCTGGACGTTGCATTCACGTCACTCTTGAAGCATAGCAACCCCCCGCCAAAAGAATGGAGGCTCGGAAAGACGCAGGGTCTGCCAGAAGGGTGCGGAGATGCGCGATAGATTTTAGAGGCAGCGCAGAGGGATTTACTGTGACTGCAACTACGATACTGGTCCCAACATCCACAAGCTCCCAAGCCCTCCACATGCGCGCATCTCGCCCAACGGAACAGGGAAGCCGCAACTCAACAATCAAGCCGCTCCTGCCTTGAAGCTGCATCCACGCTTCCTTCAATACCTCGGATCGATATCTCAATTTTTTGCCTTTTGAGGCAAGCACATTTCTTTTCGTGGGAAGCAACTAACGGCTTCTCATCACCCCACCGCGCGGTAAGCTGCTATCCTCGACTGACACTCGCAACCCCTCCCTCCCCTCTGTACTACACCTATTCCCCTCCAACCCCCGTTGTATGACCGGACACTCTCGTCGCCAGCGTGTACGGGCTCTGTAGCCTACTAGCATACCGCCATCTTCAACAACTAACGCTATTCCTGTCCCAGTAGACCCTACCCATCAACCGCCGCGGCTTCCCAGGCACGCGAGCGATCCTGTATACCCCACTCTTATACCTCCACCTTCTGGGCCTCTGCCGCTGCGGAACATCACCACTCACGACACCATGGCCGGCCATGCGACTATCACCTTCTCGCAGACGGGCGTGCAGCCACCCGTCTATGTCACTACCTCCATAAACGATTGGACGCCGGTTGAGATGGACGTGAATGAAGACAAAACCGCCTCGGACAACCTGATCTTTCGCAAAGAGTTCAATGACGTTGCTGAAGGCAGCTACCAATACAAAATCCGCGTGGGAGAAGACCATTGGGTATTGGACGAGTCAAAAGAGACTGGTATGTTAGCTCGTGTAGGTATGAAAAGGCTTTTTTAATGACCTCACGCAGCTGCCACCGACGATGGCATTCGCAACAATGTCATCCACGTCAAAGTCGCCAGCGAAAACAACTCGTTGAAATCAGCACCCGAAGCCACCACGGTACAGGAAACTCCCTCCGAACAGGAATCGCTGAAGGCTTCTCTCGCAGACCCGTCGAAGATACCAGAGGATCGAAAAGACAGTACAATGGGTGATCAGCTATCCAGTGTTCCAGTTTCCTCCATGGTAGTCGACAAGGTTGAGGACCAAAAGCAGCCAGCCTATGGCAACACCCACCACCTCGACCTTCCTGTAGATGCTGCTAAGCGCTCGGCCGACGCAGAGCCCGACTATGAAGAAACGAAAGTGGACTCGCCAATCAAGACAGAAACACCCAAATCGCCTGAAATCCCGCTTCTAGTTGTCGACAAGACGGATGATCGGCCCGCATATGGAGATGATTTCGGCGAGGATGCCACGACTGCTCAGAAGGTTGCACATGATATGAGGGCCTCAGATACACAACCAGACATACTTACCATCACACCAGAGTCTCATACAGAACCAGGTGATACTGAAGACGACCAAGCTGCTCCATTATTTCGTCATGAATCTTTTCAGGCGGACGACGAATCACAGGCACCTCCAAAGATTACTGTTGACGATGAATCCACACAATCATCAACGGACCAGACCAGTTCCGGAGATGCAATGGATACACCTCCTGAGCCTGAGGATGGTGACGAGCTAAATCTAGCGCCCTTGCTTAGCCATGAGACTGAACTCAGAGGTAGCGTAAGCGAAGCGAGAGACGGACTACAGGTTTCTCATGAAGGCAATGATGACGAGGACGATGTTGACGATTCTGGCGGCGCCCCTCTTCTTCCTCACGAAACCGGCTTTACCGAGGACGATGGAGCTGACACCGAATCTGACGACGAGAGGAATGAGCTGGACAGATACCCATTACTATCACACGAAAGTGGTTTTTCGGACTATAAGAGAAGCGAGACCCTCACTAAGAGTGAACATTCTGAGAACCGGGAGCCACAGCACTATGGAGCATATGGTAACGAGGACGAGGACGAGGGTAACCGTGACGCTGAGGATGACGACACACCTCTTCTTCCACATGAACGAGAATCAGCCTTCGTCAGCAGCACTGGCTCAGACTTCTCACAGGACGATGCTCCTTTCTCTTTGGAGAAGCAGCCAACATTTGGTTATGAGACTGACAATGCGCGAGAGTTGTTCGGCGCAGCCGATCGACACGACTTCTTCAGAGGACGAACGGGGAGTAATCTTCCTCACAGGCTACCTCAATCAGACGCGGAGGACCAGGACCTTAATGACCCATCCTTGGAACGATTCCCAACAAACCGAGAATCGATTTTGGCACGTGTAGCGACGATTGGTATGCATCTTCCTGAGGATGAATCGATGCATGAACGCCCACATTCTCCGCAGCCATCTGTCCTGTCTCAAGCCTGCTCTTCCATCGATCTTGTTCCCGTCAAATCATATGCTTCGTTGGCATCTGTACCCGAGGACGAGAACAGTGATGAAGATGAAGGGTACCATCACGATCTGGATAGTATGCCATCACCTGTGTACATCAGTCACAACACCACCCGTAGGTCCAGTCCGCCGGCCAGATTCGTGCGAGACCCATATGCAGCCTCTTTAGCAGATGATAACGAGAAACTCGGAGATGCATTCGACACCAAGATCGACGAGCCTGGCTCCCATACCCAGGAGTCTAGCGAAGCGGAAAGCGTTGCTAAGCATGACGGCGCCAAAGACATCTCAGTGGCCCACAGCGCTCTGCTCGATGCCATCTCTGCACCAGTCAACATGGCAAAATCTGCAACAGAATTAGTCACATCTGAGCCAAAAACCACCACTTCGGAGGCCCATCCTGTCTCTAATCTGGACTCTGAGCTTCGGCAGCGCAGAGCAGTATTGGAGGAATCCTCGCAGACAGAAGAAGAAATGCCAGAAAGCACCGCAGATGATGTCAGCATCACGGACAAGATCGTCGAGGCAGCGAAGCCTGCACTCGCACAGCGATCAGATTATCGCAGAGACAACTTCCTCCAACATTTGTTCCGAGCTATGTTTGCTGCTTGTTTTGGCGATCGGAAACGAGCCAGGTGAGCAAACACTATTTCCTTCCTCCTGAGATCCTTGAGTATGTGCCTTGTGGCACTCTTCCTCCACTCGTTCTTCGCCGTTTCGTAACTGAACTGAGGAAAACTATCGCTAACATGATATTACAGTGCTTCCGCTCTCGTTCTTGGTACAACCGCTGCAACTTACTATTACGCTGCAAAAGCATCGAGATGAGAAGATAAGCACAAAGTGGGACACAAAATGATCAAGATTGGTGTGAGGTTGAAGTTGGCATTGCACCACACTGTACGATATAATGGGCACGAAATGAGCATAGCGACGCGGGAACTGCCATGCATTGCACTGCATACGCGTAACGAGATTAATGACCTGGGTTTCACGATACATAAGCATGCGCTCTAGCGCGCTGGCGTTTCATATAGCATTCACTCTCCTCCTGCTCAAGCTCCTACAATCCTATCTTACAACAAGAAACAGAAAACGTGTTTTTGTGCTGTACATACGTTATTTTAGGTTGAACATGATACTGGTCAGTAACTACGATGCATGGGTGGCGAGGATTAGCGTCATGAAACTTGCGAGATCTTTTCCATCTCTTAGCGGTCTCATTCAACAACAATATGAGACATCACAAGCGTATGACCAGACGTGACTGATAGCTTGAGCAGTCATCACAATGGGACAGAAGCAACCAAGGATGACTTATATCATGGTCTCATTTCTTCTGCGTATTCCTACACAGTGGTACTACCTAGGTATCTCATATCTTCATAGCAAAGGTTTCTTCATGTAAAAAAGCGACAAGACTCAAGTCTATTGAAGCAATCGTCAGTGAGTGTAACACAACGGCAACCACCATGCTACACACTCAGAAAATAGCACACGCAGAAATAGGGAAACGAAACGCGACTGGCGCTGCATTTTCTTACAGACGCGGCCGGTTTGCTCCACTCGGTTGTGCACTCACCGACTTGTTCTTGATATCGTATCGGTCGTTGTTCATAATCTTCTCCCAGCCGGCAACAAACTCCTTGACGAACTTGTCCGCGTTGTCGGGCGACGCATATGTCTCGGCGATAGAGCGGAGTTCGGGGTGCGCACCAAAGACGAGGTCGTGGCGGGTGGCGGTCCACTTCTTCTGGCCAGACTTGCGGTCAACGCCCTCGTACAGCTCCTTGCTTGCGTCGGTTGCCTTCCACTCGGTGTTGTTGTCCAGAAGATTGACGAAGAAGTCGTTGGTGAGTTGACCGGGACGCTTGGTGAAGATACCGTGGGATGAACCGTCCCAGTTGGCGTTCAGCGCACGCATACCACCGGTGAGAACGACCATCTCGGGTGCAGTGAGGCGGAGGAGATGAGCCTTGTCAACGTCAAGTTGCTCGGTGCGGACACGCTCAGTACCCTTGCCGAAGTTACGGAAACCATCGGTGACGGGCTCAAGGTGCTCGAAAGACTGAACATCGGTCTGCTCCTGCGAGGCGTCGGTGCGGCCGGGTGTGAAAGGAACGGATACACCAGCGGCCTTTTCAACGGCAGCAGTACCGGCCAAGACAATCAAGTCAGCGAGAGAAACCTTCTTGTTGCCACCGTTGAACTTGGACTGAATGCCCTCAAGAGCCTTGAGGACCTCAGCAAGCTCCTTGGGGTTGTTGACCTCCCAGTCCTTCTGAGGAGCGAGGCGGATACGGGCACCGTTGGCGCCTCCACGCTTGTCGCTGCCACGGAAAGAAGCTGCCGAAGCCCAAGCAGTGCGGATGAGCTTAGCAGGCTCGATGCCAGCGTCAAGGATCTGCTTCTTCAAGGTGGAGATCTCAGCGTCACCAATGATCTCGCCCTCAGGCTGAGGAACGGGGTCCTCCCAGATGAGTACCTCCTTGGGAATCTCAGGACCCAGCCACCTAGAGCGGGGGCCCATGTCGCGGTGGAGAAGCTTGAACCATGCGCGAACAAAGGCGTCGTGAAGCTCCTCTGGGTGGTCCAACCAACGACGAGTGATCTTCTCGTAGGCGGGATCCATGCGCATCGACAAGTCGGTGGTGAGCATCCTTGGCTTGTGCTTCTTGCCCTGGTCGTAGGCGTCGGGGATGATCTTGTCATCGGTCTTAGCGACCCACTGGTTGGCACCAGCAGGGCTCTTCTCGAGCTCCCACTCGTACTTGTAGAGGTACTCAAGGTACTTGTTACTCCACTTGGTGGGTGTGCCAGTCCAGGTGACCTCGAGACCACTGGTGATGGTGTCAGGTCCGTTACCGCGACCGTGCTTGTTCATCCAGCCAAATCCTTGTGTTGCAAGATCCTCAGAGTTGGGGTCTGGGCCAGTGTTCTCCGAAGGAGCAGCACCGTGGGTCTTTCCGAAAGAGTGACCACCAATGATGAGGGCAGCGGTCTCTTCGTCGTTCATGGCCATACGGCCAAATGTTGTGCGGATGTCGTGAGCAGCGGCAACGGGGTCAGGAACACCCTCGGGACCTGAAAATGTTAGATCGATGAGTCTAGATATTTGACCGGTTGTGCTTACCTTCTGGGTTTACATAGATGAGACCCATGTGTGCGGCCGCCAAAGGCTTCTCGAGATCCCGCGATGTGTGGGTCTCGTCCTTGTCAACCTTGTGCTGGTCACCGTCCATAATGCCCTCGCCCTTGACACCCTTGGCGCCATCGGCGTAGCGGACGTCGCTGCCGAGCCACTCAGTCTCGCCACCCCAGTAGACGGACTCGTCAGACTGGAAAGTGTCGGCGCGGCCACCAGCGAAACCGAAGGTTGGGCAACCCATGGACTCAAGGGCGACGTTGCCAGTGAGAAGCATCAAGTCGGCCCACGAGATCTTGTTTCCATACTTTTGTTTGATGGGCCAGAGGAGGCGGCGAGCCTTGTCGAGGGAGACGTTGTCGGGCCATGCGTTGAGGGGAGCAAAGCGCTGCTGTCCCTCACCACCGCCACCACGGCCGTCGGTAACACGGTAGGTACCAGCAGAGTGCCATGCCATACGGATGCTATGATGAGTGTTAGCTTGGCTTGTCGAGGTCAATTGGATCTCGAACGTACAAAAGACCACCGTAGTGACCAAAGTCGGCAGGCCACCAGTCCTGGGAGTCGGTCATCAGGGCGTTGATGTCCTTCTTCAATGCATCGTAGTCGAGCTTCTTGAACTCCTCGACATAGTTGAAATCAGCGCCGAGGGGGTTCTGTCTGGGGTCATGTTGGCGCAGGATGTTGACCCTGAGCTCGTTTGGCCACCAGTCGGCGTTCCTGGTACCAGCGCCGGCGACGTTGGGCGTCTTCTTCACGGGACACTCGCCTTGAGACATGATGAATCGTTTGGTAGTGTGTTGTAGAAGAGGATGTTTGAAGAAAACAAACTGCAGAGCTCGCTATCGGGACAGCATCTGGGTATATAAGTAGCGGGGCATTCATAAGCACGACCATTCTGGCCAGCACCTTACTGGCTTGCCCCTCCCGCACCTGGGCAGTCCGCCAGTGGCTCCGCATCTCTTAGCTCCATCCTGCCTAGCATCACGAGAGGCTCCACCCCACGATTGCGACTTTGACCAAGAACTCTATGCTAATCCGACGTGCTGACAGTGGCACAGTATTCCATTCGTGTAAATTGTCCCTATCTCCCATACGCTCTTCCCAAAAGCCACGATTCTTGTCGCCGCCACACGCAATGCCATGACGTGCGCGAGTGGCATGTGGGCCTCTTAGACCCCGCTTTCGGAACCGCACATCATCACTGTAATATTCGCCTTGTGATTGGTCAACGCGAGTTCACGTGACAATGAGTAGCACCGAGGCAACGAGAAGCTATGGCGGAAATCGGCGGCTTGATGCGCTGGACAAGGCCAGACACCGACTTTGAGTAAGCCGTCCATCCAGAGCAAACGCATCGCCAACACTGCCAGAGTAGCCAGACCATACTAGATCGCGTAATATATGGAAACTGCTAGACGCGCCTACACGTGTGATCGACCGGGTATGCCATCATCCATGACTTGACGGCAAATAGAAGTATACGGAATTCTAATCTATCAGCCATCGTTGATCTCAGAACAACTCGCAGTACAATGTCTGAATCAAATTTTCTCAGCCACTCATGAGATCGGCTTCTGCACGACTTGGAGTGCTCATCGTGGCAAGAGAATCACCGCGACAATACACGTCTACGCCGTTAGCCTAGGAACTTCGCAAGGTGTTTCCTCATTACTTACTTAGCGGTGACCAACTGCAAGATGATACGCTATGAGATGCACGACGGTGTTATTGCAGTCTTAGTTGAGATCTTTGTTTATCTGAAGTTTGAAGCTGGCCGTCTCACGCCACCCTATCCTGGGAACCCCACGTACATCACCCCGCAACGCCCGCGCTTCATATATGGGGAAAGCCAAGCGCCTTGACGGCTCCAAACAGCCACCCACTTCGCTCCTTCATCAGCCCCTCGCCGCGGAAACCTCCCGCTTTTACACTTGTAAGGATGAAAGAACGATTCGAAGCTACTGAATCGCGTTCGTGACGATCAACCTTTTATTGGATGATTGTGGATATATTCCAAGACCGAGGTTGTCACATCGTCGCGCCATTGGTTTGTATGTCACGATGGATGCAGTTCTACTTCGCTATTGGAGAACCTTACTGTGCAAACAGTGATTGTGGGTATCTTGGGTTGAGGGGTAAGATGAAGTTGAGGGGTTCATCTACTGTTGTGCATCCGGTTGTTTGACTCTCCCAGTCTACTTACCTCTACTACTAATTCCAAGCGTAATTGTATAACCTTGCCGATACAACCAATTCATACATACACACATCCAACAACATGGCAGAAGATAAGGTCCAAACTTTTGATATCCCGAAAACATGTAAAGCTGGTGTTGTAGTCAACGAAGGCCCGGACTTCCGCGTCGAGGTTCAGGATGTTCCAGTGCCTGAATGCGGTACGTACTGGAAGACTAAACAGAATGTTTGTAAAGCCCTGACAGCAATGACAGGTCCAACGGACGTACTCATCAAGCTCAACGCGACCGGTATCTGCCACAGCGATCTTCACTTCATGCTCAACGACTGGGCACTACCGAAAATGTCAGACCTCGGTACAAAATGCGCCGGACACGAAGGTAGCGGTGTTATTGTCAAGGTTGGGGATCAGGTCAAGAGCCTGAAGCCGGGAATGCGAGCTGGATACAAGGTGAGCAAACTCGCCGTCCACGTGATTCTGCGTGGAAAGGAAGCGAGAGCGCGAGCATCCGAGAGAGCCGAAAACTGACTCTTTCAGCCAATTCAAGATACTTGCGGCTCGTGTGAGCTTTGCCGCAACGGTAACGAATGCTACTGCGCAAAGGCAGTCTTGACCGGATTAATGATTGATGGTTCATACAAGCAGTACATCGTCTCACCCGAACGCTACACAACCCTCGTCCCGGATGGTGTGAACGACTACATAGCAGGGCCGATCATGTGTTCTGCTTCAACAATCTACACATCAATCAAGGAGTCACAACTCCGACCCGGAGACTGGGCCGTCTTCCCCGGCGCAGGGGGCGGTGTTGGCCTACAAGGCGTGCAACTGGCGAAAGCCATGGGTCTACGCGCCATAGCCATTGACACTGGCGACGATAAGCAAAAGCTCTGCATGGAAACTGGAGGCGCGGAGCACTTTATCGACTTTAAGAAAGTAGACAACGTAGGCGAGGAGGTGGTACGGTTGTGTGATGGTATCGGCGCCCACGGTGTCTTCGTCACTGCTGTTCAGACTTACCCAAACTCGATATCATACCTCGGTGGCCGCGTTGGTGGAAAGGTGATGTGCATCGGACTGCCGCCGGCTGGGACTCAGCACATTGATGTCGACCCGAACCAAATGTGCTTCAGGAAACAGAGTGTACAGGGTACACTTGTGAGCAGCATGGCGGACGTGGACAAGACGCTTGACTTTGCTAAGCGGGGATTGCTGAAGCCGATTTACACGGTGTATCCGTTGAGCAAGTTCAACGAGGCTGTGCAGAAGCTGAAGCGTGGGGAGATTGCTGGACGAGCAGTTGTCGATTTTAACATGGAGTAGGTATATGGCGGGGTTTCTCTGTGAAAAATGTTGAAATCAAAATTTCCAGAAGTTTGTACGGCGAGGTTGGCATAGCGTTTGAATTGTGATGATGGCTGTAGTTTGCATGTGATGGATTGTCCCTGGGAATGCACAGACCAACCTTATTCGTCGCACCTGTGTTATCGAACGTCAACCACGCCTCACGATCCATCGCTACAACAGAACATCTCTTCGCTTTACGTAATGATTGCTTGAGAAATGCGCCCCAGCTTTCATTGGAGTATATGTCGAGGGCATGTCCAGCTCGTCGTCAAATCCGTCCTCCCGCGGACAGGCTGAAGCATCATCGAGCCGCACATTGAACGGGAAGCAGCCAGTTGTTGAGGACGACCACAACGATGAAGAGGAACTGCTGGCGGATGATCCGCTAGAGCGCGATCTACCTGAACAGTAAGCAGATGCAGCACGTTTTTGATGTGCTCTATATTAAGATGCGTCTCCAGACTCTCCTTCAAGCGCAGACCCAAGGCATCCACGTCCTCCTTCGGCTTCTCGCGATACCTCCCCTCCTCCCTCGGTTCATCCAGCAATCGCACCTCGCCCCAGCCACGATCGCACCGCCCGAATGGCTCAACGGAGCTTATACTCAACTATCTCGATACACCTGGCAATGCGGGCGAACATCTCCAAGACACCAAAGACGCGAATGGACTAGACTGGTACATCGAAGGCCCAGGGCGGCGAGTTGGATACGACGACCTCACCGCAATTGATTGGATTTTCGAATACGCAAAGGAACGACAACGACTGCGCTATCTATACACTGGTTCTAGCGGTGTGCTTGGCCATATCAAACAGTTGGCGGATGCAAGCCAGGTCTGGATCATTCTGGTTGCTGCCGGCATACTGAGCGGAGGTATTGCAGCATTTATCGACGTGGCCAGTGATTGGCTTGCAGATCTCAAGACGGGTTACTGTCACAATGTTGATGGAGACGGGCGGTTCTACCTGAACAAGAGCTTCTGTTGTTGGGGAATCGAGGAAGAGCAGGCTTGCCATGACTGGAACTCTTGGGGTGCTGCCATGGGAATTGAAAGCGTCGGTGGAAGATATGTTGTCGAATACATATTCTTTGTGCTCTTTTCAGTGCTCTTCGCAGCATGCGCTAGCCTCCTGGTGCGAGAGTTTTCGCCCTATGCGAAGCACAGTGGTATACCTGAGATCAAGACTGTCCTGGGTGGTTTTGTCATTCGGCACTTTTTAGGCGGATGGACTTTGGTCACGAAGACGATCGGATTGTGCTTCGCAGTCGCTTCTGGTCTGTGGCTGGGCAAAGAGGGTCCATTGGTACACGTCGCATGCTGCTCGGCAAACCTATTCATGAAGCTATTTGGTAACGTAAATGGCAATGAAGGTCAGGCTTGTTACCCCGCTGTTTTCCCAAATACACTAACATCAGAACAGCAAGGAAACGAGAGGTGTTCTCGGCCGCGGCTGCAGCAGGTATCTCAGTCGCTTTCGGTGCGCCCATTGGTGGCGTGTTGTTCAGTCTCGAACAATTGTCGTACTACTTTCCGGATAAAACCATGTGGAGCAGTTTCGTATGCGCGATGGTTGCTGCTGTCACGTTACAGGCCTGTAACCCGTTCCACACTGGGAAACTCGTCTTGTACCAAGTCACGTACCATAGCGGGTGGCATGACTTTGAGCTGCTACCTTTCGCATTTCTCGGAATCTTAGGTGGACTATTCGGAGGCTTCTTCATCAAGCTTAATATGGGCGTTGCTGAATGGCGCAAAAACCGACAATATCTCAAAGGGCCAGTGACGGAAGTGGTCATTGTATCGTTTATCACAGCGCTTATCAACTTTCCCATCAAGTTTATGCGCGCTCAGGCGTCCGAGCTCGTGCATATCTTGTTTGCCGAATGCGCAGACCTCAATGAGGACACACTCGGTCTATGCAAATCTGGCAAAGCGAATACAGGAGTTATCGCGCTCTTGCTCATCTCCTCTGGACTTGGCATCATACTCTCGGGCTTCACATTCGGACTGCAGATTCCTGCCGGTATTATCCTCCCATCTATGGCTATCGGGGGTCTTTTTGGACGTGCTGTAGGACTTTCAGTCGAAGTGGTCCAGGCGGCGTGGCCAGCCCTTTTTGTCTTCAAATCCTGCGAACCGGACGTACCCTGTGTAACCCCAGGCACGTACGCTATTGTTGGTGCCGCATCAGCGCTTGCCGGAACGACACGAATGACTGTATCGATCGTGGTTATCATGTTTGAACTTACCGGAGCGCTCACTTACGTTCTGCCTATCATGATCGCAGTCATGATCAGTAAGTGGATTGGCGACGCAATCTCTCCCCGTGGTATCTACGAGTCTTGGATACACTTCAAGGGCTACCCTTTCCTTGACAATCGAGAAGACAATGGTTCTAGCATTCCTGATGTCGGCGCAAGCCATGTTATGACACGCATCGAGGACTTGACTGCAATCACAGCAACCGGTCATACCATTGGTTCACTGCGCCAGCTTCTATCTCAACATAGATTCCGTGGCTTTCCCGTCATAGACAACAGTCGCGATGCTCTTCTACTTGGTTACATTTCCAGAACTGAATTGCAGTACGCACTTCAACTCGCTTTGACGCCTCCACGAAGCTTGGCTGCCGAAACAGAAGCTTACTTCTCTCATCAACCCCTCTCCGATCCCACGACATCACTCGATCTCCGACCCTGGATGGACCAGACACCGATTACCCTCAACGCCAAAGCTAGTTTCCAGCTTACCGTGTCCATGTTTCAAAAGCTTGGTCTCCGCTATGTTTTGTTTACCGATCGAGGTATGTTGAAAGGCTTGCTCACCAAGAAAGACGTTTGGTACGTCATGAACGGCATTGAAGAAGAGCGCGAAGAAGGTGGTGCAGGCATTGGTGTCGGGAGAGGGGGACTTAGAGAAGAAGGCGATGATGACGAAGAGAGCGAAGAGAGGGGATTACTCGGTACACCAGAGGAGGAACAGGATGACTTCATTGGTGCGCACGACAGATAGTCGCGTGCAGAAGCTGTAGTTCTCATTGCACATGTACAAGTAGAAGCTCTGTAATCATTATCAAAAGAAACTTCGAACTCTAATTGTAAGACGTGTTTCTGGTGATCTCACGGGAATCCGCAGATCCGGAGGATGGCAAGGATAACATCCGATCGTTGTTGTGGCAAGTTAGCCGTTGATCGGGGTGGGGGAGGCATGTGCGCTGGAAACCCACAAATAGAAGTCTCGCCCTCTGTTCCTGCAGGCACCGCTACAGGCTCGTTGTTTCGGCCTTCGCGACGTTTGTAGAAGGTCACGAGGTATGCCTGCATCGACAACGAAGGGCTACCTGTCCACCGCTCAAATACGCGCCAAGGCCACTGGCGTCCAATCACATATGCTTGTCATCTAGCGTTGTGTAAGCAGACAGTAAAGGGCCTAGCGCGTGGCTATACCGCGGCTTTCTTGCTACCTGCATAGACCCGCCCTTAACAGCCGGCCGCGCCCATTCCGACTTCAGAGCCTTTCACTCCTTCGGCCTTTGACGTGTCCCCTCGTTTTCTAAACGTCTTTGACCTCCCAAACAAAAGCAACACAATCTGAACCCGAGAATCAAAGATCTACGCCCATCATGCAACCCTCGTTAGCGTAGCGCAAAAGCACCCAGCGGCTATGACTGAACCTTGGCATACGTCGCGGACAGGACATCGACGACGATTACCGCGTTGAACAGATCCCACAGCTTGCCCGCCATTACGACACTCTACACATTTTCTTTCATTTTTTCCCAGATCCACATCCACACACGAACTAGGGAGACGACATGGCGGCGACCGAAACTGAGAGAAAGAGCAGGAGGAAGCATTCGTCATCGGCGAAGACTTCGAAACCACGTTCCTCCTCCAGGAAACCACGAGTATCGCCTTCAGTAGCAGATATGTACTTGCAAGATTATGCGCCTCCAGTCCAGGCGACTTCGCCTCAGCGTGTGACAGCGACGAGGCCTACCCCACCTCTTTATGGCTATTCTGCAAGTCCACCTCAGCACGCGGTCTATCGTCAGATGCCTGGTTCTTTCCCAGAAGATGGTTATCTATATGGGTCTCCACCGCCGCAACCCGTTCAACCCTATGCTAGTCAATCGACTATTCGCTTTGCTTCTCCACCACCCCATGAGCCCCGCGGTCAAGGTCCATTCGAACAACAATGGAACAGCCTTGATCGGATGGCCGCCAAATCGTACAGGAATCTCCGAGATACGGCTGGAAAGAGCGTGACGAATCTGACTGCCAACTGCATCGAGCGACCTACGGCAGCTGTCGCTACCAAGAGCATGCAGACTTTGTGCAAAGGAGCCGCGCTGTACGATATAATCAGCTCAAAATTCGACTCGGTCATCACCAGTATCGACGACGATCACTTCAGCGGCAAAGAACAGGATCTTATGATGGAGTTCAGTGAGCAGCAGCAGGAAGAGGGCCAGAGAACGAGTCCGCCACTCGGCGAACCCAGACGCCGGCGTCAAAACGACGTGCAATCCCACTCTAATAGCGACAAAGGGTCAAATCACTTTTCAAAGGTGTGGCTTTACTCTAATTCCCGACTACCACCTCATTTGCCGCCGTTCAAGGTCTATCTGCCTACATATCCCCTACTTTGCTTAGCAGCAACCTACTCGGAGAAAGCCTACACGCCTCCAGGCACGAAGAAGAACCCTGAAATGGAGACCTTCATCCCTGCTGATTGGCGCAGTGGAACGAAAGCCATGGTACTCAAGTCCATTCCTGTGGAAGAACTGAACACCATTGTCTTCGCCATTCGCGGAAGTCAGACCTTTATGGACTGGGCTGTCAACTACAACTCGGCGCCTCACAGCCCAGAAAAGTTCCTCGACGACCCTTCGAATTTATGCCACGCTGGCTTCCTTTACGTGGCAAAGAAAATGATCAAGCCCGTGGCAGAGCGTTTGAAGGTTTTGCTTCAAGAAAACCCTGCACGTTCTAATTGCAGTTTGCTCATCACCGGTCACTCCGCTGGCGGAGCTGTCGCCGCACTGCTTTATGGGCATATGATGAGCACGAAGATCAATTCTGAGCTTAATTACCTTACGAGTTTCTTCAAGCGTGTCCACTGCGTCACGTTCGGTGCGCCACCTGTTACTCTGTATCCGCTAAAGAAGCCTGACGACAAGCGCCATCGCAAGAGTCTCTTCTACGGATTCATCAACGAAGGCGATCCTATACCGCGAGCGGACAAGAGCGTGCTGAAGAGCTTGCTGAAGCTCTACGCCAGTCCAGCACCCGTTGCTGTTTCGAACATAGCTTCAACCATCACATCAATGTCCAAGCCCAACCTCCGAGACCCGTCGCAATCTTCCCCACCTAAGACAAAATCGAAGTATGGTTTTGCCCAGCGACTTAGCAGGCCTTCCAAATCCTCGCTACAAACAAACACGTCCAGCTCTACCTCTTCAACGCTTCCAGCGTGGCCCATACCAGCGTGCACTTTATCACCTGCAGGCAGACTAGTGGTACTTAGGCAGCGCGTTGGAAGCAGGGTTGAAGACGATATCGAAGCAGTGACTGTGGACGACGAGATGCTGAGGAAGGTTGTATACGGTGATCTGCTGAAACACCAGATGGCCGTCTACAAGAAGAGGATCGAGAACGTCGCTGTTAGAGCGGTGACTGCGAATGGGTGTTGAGTAGCAGAGATGGGTTGACTGTACATGAAATTGATAACCGCACACAGAAATGAATGAGCGATGAATTTATGTACCCAAATTTTTGAACTTCTGTTCTTGTTCCCCTGTGCTGCTGTATTGCCTTTGTCTAGTTTCCGTGTGTCAAAATCTACCAACCACGCCGTCGCCAATGCTTCAGATCCCAGGAGGGAGGTGGCGGCTTTCCATTGCATGGAAGCACGGACTGCACAACAGAGGATACCACCCCGTCTACATTTTCTACCATACAAGTTTCAACACCCTTCTGTATCACGTCAGCTGCTACGGGAGCGGCACTCCTTCTACTTCCTTACTTGAGTAATGTTCAAAATACGAGTGAGTTGTCGCACAGCTAACAGCATGAGAAACAGATGTGTCTCATCCATAAGAAACTCGCGAACTTATGGATGTTGAGGACTATTCTCCACAAGAGTGTGGAAAGAGGGAACAAACACCAAGCTAGGAAAGGCCATTATAATCCGGAACACTCCTCATCTCTGTTGATATCGAGCGAAAGATGATTGAGAGTACTGCGAAAAGCGTAAATGCCAAGGCTCATGGCTTTGGCAGAAGGATACCTAGGTAGCTTGGCTGAGAGTTTTTTGCAATGAATTAGCCTAGGAACTGCAAATCGAATCGAACAAATCCCGTTCTGAACATTGTTGTCATCTTTCATACAAGCCTTCACCAGTGTCCTTCAGCATGTTGTTGTTTTAGTGGCGAGATCACGTTATGTTTTTGTAATAATAACAAGTGAGACGTACATTGATCCATGCCCAAGTTTTAACTTTATCAAAGGGTGTATCGACGGCGTCGTCTCGCTTCCAGAGTTCCCAAACGCAATTGCAACAATGCCTTTGCAATGCCATTGATCGAGCGAGAAAAATACAATTAGTGATCAGCATCCTAGATATCCGCCACTAGGTTTCCTTGCGGCAATAGTAATCAACTTATCTTCGCAATGCCGGAGCGAAATGACGGAATGGCCAGCTTAGCATCTTAGTAATGTAAGCCCTATGCTACAAAACCACCTCCCTCCCCACGTATCCGTTCATTATATTTTGCCCATTTTAGAGCACTTTGTACTGCCATATGACAAGTTTCGCAGGTGATCGTTTCCCTACATTCGAGCGGTGGGCACCAGCTCATCGGTGGGAAGGGTCATGCTCGCTGATCAGCCTTGCATGCTCGCTCACCCAACAAGTCAGCACCTCAGCTCACTCAAGCGACAACTCCGTACATCTTCGTCCATGAATGAGCGTATTATATCTTCAGGCCACCTCTGGCTCAACACAACGTTGGCTGTGCGACCAAGCAAAGCAGGCAGCTATGCTGTCGCGTAGCACCTACTGTACCCCGTCGGCGAGAAGATGCGCCGATTGCGGATCTCCCTCGTGACCTTCCGCTGAAACTCGTCCGCGTCGCAAACAATTGGAGACACATTGCGTAGACCTGACTATAGAGAACACAGCGCCAGGAATAACACGACAGACAATTTAGGAGAGGTATAAAAGGCAGACAGACGGCCATTCTACGGAGATACTCGAGCAATTGTACACGAAAAAACAACACGAACTCCCTCAATTGATCACTACACAAACGACGAAATGGCGATTCTCCAAATCCCCAGCGAGTACGGGTACGTTCAGTCTCGACTGCGATAGCAATGACAATGGCAGAAGCCCCCATACACCTCTCAATAGTCTCCCTTTCAGAACCAGCCTCCTCACCAAACCAATTAAGAGACCACCGACTAATTTATGCTCCACAGCTACGTCCTCGCCGCCTGCGTTTCCACGTTCTTCGTCGGTGCCTGGCACGGCGGCCGCGTTGGCGGCTTCCGCAAAGCAGCCAAGATTCCTTACCCCTACGAATACGCATCCTACGAACAAGTTCAGACCGCCTCTCCCCCATCCAGGTCCGCTATGCTCGCCTTCAACTCGGCCCAACGCGCACACCAAAACTTCAATGAGAACCACGTCACAGCCCTCGGCGCCATGCTCATCTCCGGACTGAGGTACCCTGTCGCTGCGGCCGTGTTGGGTGCGGTATGGAGTGTAAACCGCGTAATTTATGCGATTGGATACTCAAGGAGTGGGGAGGATGGTGGAAAGGGAAGGTACTATGGCGCGCTTGGAATAATCGCGCATTATGTACTCCTGCTTATGAGTGGCAAGGCGGCTTTTGACCTTGTCATGGGTTAAGCAGGTTACAGGTGTGGGTACGAAGATGTGAACTGGAGATACCTTACAGCTTGATGGTGTGGCGACACACATTTAAATGCAACATGTGAAAAGGTACCATCTACGCTTCATTGGTGATGATCTGAACGTGAGCTGCAGTCTTTCCTCCGGAACAAACTCTCCTTATAAGAATATCAAATATCCTGTATTATCCCAGTACCCCAAAGTCTTGCATAGTCCGAGCTCACGTCTGCTCTCTGGGAAAACATGCTGCTAGTCATGCTTTTACCATTCATATACATGGGCTCCCTTCCCGAAGGCTCACGCTCACACTTCTGTCTTTCCAGTAAGCCCCGATAACTCCAATGCACGTATAGTGCCCTGTACGTCCTACATCTCGTCAGCCATTTTGAACCGTGCACGTGGAGGAATGAGAATACTTACCGGGAACGCAGCAAGTAGACACAAAAGATTGCCAGCTAGGAAGAAGCCGATTGACGCAGCGACCTGAATAAGTAGCAGCCTGGCGTGCTTCCATAACTCATCACTTGGGACACGCGAGTGAAGGACAATTAGAGCGATGGGCGCTGCAAGCAGTCTTTGGGTTATCCGTCGCCATTTGTTGTAGAGAGAAAGGAAACCTGGGCTGTAATTGCCGTTCTGCAACTGGCGGTTGGTAAGGTCAACGTGCAGTTGAAACCCTCGGATGAAGCCCAAGAGACCAATAGCAGCTAGGATGTTAAGCCACTCGTGATGGCGTGTTGCAGCCGAGCACTCCAAGCCCTTCTCTAGCAGACGCATGCATTGCCTGCGAACAGCGCGGTCGGTCACAAAGGTAGATGCTGTAACCCGCGCTATCTGAACAACAATTAGGCTGATGGTGTACTGCACGCCGACAAAGAATTGGCTATTGAACACTGGCTTCGCCGAAATCATAGAGCGACGACTACGGCTACTACGAGCTAGTAACGAGAGTAGTCTTGGAGTTGACTCTGGGGTTTCAAGTCTGTCGTCGACGAGGATGTACCCGTAGGTTTGGCGAGTGTAACGAGCTAGACATAGACAGAGCGCGTCATAAAGTTGAGAGAAGACAGCGACAACAAGCAATGTGACAAGAGCGGCGTTGACTGTCATCGAAAGATTCATGGCTAAATAGAGAAGGGGATCTAAAGGTGTAAGTCAGCTGATGTTGTGCCTGCCATATTGGAGACAAATACGTACTTCCCTGCCACAACGTAAGCCATACAGACTGCACGGGTGTTCCTTGCTGCGACATATTGGTTGTGAGTAATATCAGTTGAGGATAGAAGGAAATTGAATGAGTAGAGTGTCAACGACACGATCGATATTTTATCTGTGCCACTTAGCGTGGTGGAGGTGAGTGCGCTTGTCTCCTTGATAGTGTTGCACCTTCCTCGCCTCGAACGCAAACACGTGAAGCTGTCAATCGTTCGGCTTGCTGCAGGCAATCTACCGCGCTTTCACTTCGACTAACTTCACTCCCGCTCGTACATGCAGAACTCAAATTTGACACCCTGTTCCTCAATTCCACCTTCTTGAATCTCTTCGCCAGTAAAGTTCTGCACCTCCTCTCTGCTACTATTCCTCCATATCGTTGTCTCGTCCAGGTTGATCGGAAAGAAAGTGTCGCACTCAAACTCTTTGTGAATCTTTGTGAGAAGCACTCGCTTCGTTTGTGGAAGCTCCAGCGCCGTGTTGTATATAGTTGCTCCACCGATGACAAAGACTCTGTCCAACTCGACATTCGAGCTTGGCAACTTGTTCTCTTGCTGACTTTCAAGCTGCGACAATGCGTCCAATACGCTAGAGCATACCATTGGCCCTTCCACATCGCTCTTCTTGTCTAGTTTACTCATAAACTCTTTAGGGTTTGAGGTGATGACAATATTCAGCCGGTCCTTCAGGGGACGGAATTTAGGTGGTATGCTCTCCCAAGTCTTGCGGCCCATGAGTACAGCATTCACTTTCTTGACGCCTTCTGTTGATGTAGAAGGCGACGTGCGCTTGGTCACTCGTGCGAAGAACCCCATCTCCTTCTTGAGCTGTGGCCATGGCAGGCCTCCACTGTTGCCTATGCCAAGATTCGGTGTGGCTGCGAGGATAAGAGTAAGAGTTGGAGGTTTTGGTGGCATGGCAGAGACGTTTGTATCGCGGGTAGCTGAGTTTTCCTTCGATGTCGTGCTGATTGGCTTGGTAGAAGGGAAATCGTCAGACATGGCGTAGTGCGTTTTACCGCCGATCAAATCTGGGCCACCGAAAGCTTGATCGTGAAATCGAGATGTAAGCTGTATGAATGCCTGACGTGGGATGTTGCATTAGTTGCATGCGGGGCCACAATCACGCTAGTGACAACGCGAGAGAACGTGATCCAGCCCTATGGGCTGAACATCTCCGCTAGAGCGTACCACGTTGCTAGACCTAGTTCAAAACATCCTCACATTTCTTTAGCAGTCTCTGTCAAGTCACGCTCAGCAGGAACCGGTGTGACTTTCGCACGAGTTCACATTCCCGTACACAGACTCGAGGTATAATACACAGGCTGATTGCCCTTGTTCATGCACACGAAAATCCAACACCAAAGACACACGCTGACAGTACGACACGCAGCGCTGCATCATCCCATCATGCCCAGTCCGAAACCCTGCCACTCGCCGAAAATGGTCAAGACACTGAACGCCAATAATTACACCTTTGCAATGCCGCTACCCGGTTGAAATCATTTGCATGAAGAAGCAAAATCCCGTACAACCCCTTTCATACAACGTCGTTCTTGCTTGCCGAGTTTCCAATGGGTATCTTTTGAGTTCTTTTAGGGCTTGCTGTGCAGCAGAAATACGGGTTTCCTCCACATGCTCGATTGTTGCTCACTGTCGCGGAGGAGACATACGATACTATTCGCTTTCGCCACCCTCACCACTACTCTTAAGTGGTATTGACAATGAAATCTTCTTTGGCGTACCACCACTGTCCTTGCCGGAGTTCACATTAGGCGACTTCCTACGCAAACTCCGCAAACTCCCAGAACTAGCGTTACTAGACGTCGAAGCGCGTCGCTTGGGTCCAGCAGAGGTGGAGATGCTTGCGAGAAGCTCGTCTTCTTCGTCCTCCTCTCGTCGGCGCTTCTCCGATATCCGCTCTGGTGGCGATCCCGCGGATGTCGAACTTGGTGATGTACCTTCTTCTGGCGTTTGAGTTATTGGAATCTTGTGAGCAGAGGCGGCCACGTCGCTTGCGAGATCGTCCATGTCGGCATCATCGGCATCGTCATCTGGGTAGTTGACGAGAGGTCGCACCGGCGATGCGCCGTTCATGGCAAGTTTTCCAGCTCCAGACAGATGGTCGTCCTCGTCATCTGACGTATTGAAGTAAGCCTCTTCGTCTGGGTCCACCTCCTTCAGACCTTGTCCCCACTTTCCACCGTTGATGGCAGTAGCATGTCGCGCAGGCGTATCGCTATCCACACTTGTGAAGGAATTGTCCATCTCTTGGGTAGTTACCGGTTCATGGTTTTGGTCATACTTGAGTATCAAGTTCTGGAACGTGTCGACGTAGGTAATGTCTTGTAGCTTTTCTCTGTATGTTTCAACAAGATGCTGGACGATCATCTTGATGTTCTCGCGCCTGATGAATTCGAACAGCTCCAAACATGCCGAGTTGAGGAGGTTATCGCGAGGCATAGTATCGAAGAGTATTTTCAAAATCGGCTCGAAAAGTTCGTGTTGGATGATCTGTCGATTATGCGTCTCGTCGTGGAAGCCAAGTACGGTGCGGAAGTATTTGAGCGCGGCTAGTGAGGATTAGTAAATTGGAATGAAGCATTCCGCGAGAGACTTACTGAGCTTCAGATGCTTCTCTGGGCAACCCATGAGTTGGGCAACCCGCACCGCCAGACCTTCTGAAAGGATAAAGTATTTGCTGCGGAAAGAATGCTGGCGAATAAAGAAGCACAGAACCTCAACGAGGTGAGCGTATAGTGACACTTCTTGCATCGATAGATCGTCCACTGCGTTGTGTTAGTTCAGAAGGTAAGGAAATGAAGAGTACCACTCACTTGATTCCCGGCCCTCTAGGTCTTTGAGAGGCTGGAATAACTTCCTCGCCGACTCGTCGTAGAAGTTCTGTATGAAAGAGTCTGTTTGAGGTATGGATGGCAATTGTCCCCTCATTTTGGCAAGGAAGTCACTATTCGTCCGCCCGAGCGCTTCTATAGAAGCCGAGTTGGCGTTGGGATCAAGTAGAATCTTGATCGCATCAGCCATCTGCGCCTTGACTCCAAGGTCCACCTCAATAAGGAGCAGCTCGATCAAGGTATCGGTGAGCGACTTGGATTTCTCCTGGATAGCCTTGAAGATATAGCTCCGCACCATCAGCGCGTCATGGTCGATCAGCGACACGAGTATATCGGTTCCCGCAACACGAACCGAAGCGTCCTGGTGCTTGAGCGCAAATTGGATTACTTCTAGCAGGCCGCTGCTAATGAAGTTTTGATATAGCTGCGCTCTCACATTCGCTTGCAAGCTCTTCGCTATAGCGCAGCATTGCTGAATGAACAGCACTGCGTCCTTCTTTCGTGCCAAGTTTTGCTCCTTCGGAGAGAAGATGCTGAAAAGCTCCTTCAAGAATGGACCGTTCGCTTGGAGATGCTGGACAATATCGACTTGGTGGAAAAATATAAGCGAGTTCAGAACGCTGAACGTAGGGTCGTCGAGGATGCGCGCAAGAACAACATCCTTGAGGTATTGAAGTCGGTACGTGTAGTGGATCTTCCGCTTTATGTTCTCGTCCTCTATCCGTACGACCTCTTTGAACTTGGATTCATCGGCAAGGTACTGTCGGTGATTGGCTTTGTGTAGAGGAAAGTCTGGGTCGTCTATGCGATGTCAGCAAACCATGTGGGAGGTCGCAGAGACCAGTACTCACACTCCAATGCCCCAACGACTCCCAGAACCACCGGGTCTGTTACAACGTATTCGATAATGGCGGTGTCGTTGAGCAGGATGAGCATCTTCACGATGCTACATAAGCGGTGTAGGTCCGAGACACTTTCGAGATCTTCTGCCATGTCTACAAGTGGGATGAGTTTTGGTATGTAATCTTGGGCGAGTATGAACTTGGCCAAGGCTTCACGACCGCCCGGCGTCGAGTTGGCAGCGCGCATGTGGTTCTCGATTTCGTGGAGGTTGCCAAGATCGGGACTCGGGAGTAATATGGGACTAATGTGATCGATGTCGTCTGAAAGACCATCGTCTATGTCAGCATTAGCTCGCTTGAAGCTAGGCGCGATTGATATCACGTACCCTGAGCGAGTGCTTGCAGCCGCGATTGGACTTCGTTCACAAAGTCCCTGTTATGTATTAACACATGGCTTCAACTGCAAGGCATTCCGGCTCACCATATGCTAGCGCAGCCCTCTGGCTCCTGGAAGCTGAGGGCCATGTCGGTGCCATTCTGCTCGGTCCAAACGATGAGTGTGTCTGCATGTGTTCAGCTGATGTCTTCCCGCAGCAAGATATGGGCGCATACCCTGTTGTTTCTGGTAGCCGTCATCTTTGGAAATGCGCGTTTCGAGCAGTTGTCGCGACTGGTCGTCCTCGGATAGGACTACAATTCTCGCTTCCTCTTGCTGCAGTCGCACAAGTTAGCCTCGAGCCTTTGCAGAGGGTCAAATAGCGGGAGTTGCGCAAACACGGCGCCTAAACGGTCCAAGACATAGGGAAACATACGCTTGCTACGACGCCCTTGCAGAAGCCAGTGCCTCGATCGAACCAGTCATTGTTCTTGAGCTCGTATACCTTGACGCGCTTTCGTTCACTCGCAGGTGGCGGAGCGACGTTTGCCATAGCCGGCAGCGGCGTGTCGACACTCTCCGGCTAGGGCGTGTACCCTCCGGAGGCAGGCGGGCTGTCGCGATCGTTTGCGCAGTGTGGAGGGGATAATTGGCGGTGGATAGGGCGGAGGTCGGGGGTGCGGTGATCGGGGCGGCTGGGTGTTGTGCTGGCGGATGACGATTAGGAGGCGCGGCGGCGCTTGCGGGCTGTCGCAGAGCTCGGCAGCGCGATTAGAGATGTGTCGACGGGTGAGCCCCTGCGCGCGCAGCAGTGGAGAGGATAACGCGATGGCGCGTGACGGGAAGGGTGATGGTGATCAGCCTCGGACACTTTGCAGTCGCGTCGTGGGTCGCAAAGTCGAAGCGGGAGAGCACAGGGCCGGGCTTGGGCACAGTGCATGCACTAGCTTGGAAGCGCAATGCGAATATCGATAAGAGCCTAGACCGGCGGCAGCAGCAAGAGCCTCAACACCACGCTGAACCCTGGAGATGGCTGCGATGTATGTGCGCGATCTAACAGATGTTGCGGGGTAAGGTATGCAGTCGCCCGATTAGTTTCCAAGGTTGGCGTGAATGAGTGCAGCAGCTTTCGCCTCGTATGACGGCAGCCCGAGGAATGCGCGCTTGCCCACGGCCTCACTGACGCAATCTTCTTGGCACAACCACACTCAACACCACGTCTACTGTGCCCTCTGTCGAGCTTTATTGTCCTTTCATGGCGCTTGCTACACGGTATACGATGCTTTCATCCACGTCCTCCTTAGATCCTGCCACGCATGGGCGAAGTCGCGAATCACGACTTTTCGACATCTGTCATCGGAAACAGTGGGCTGGTGGTACCGTCAACCAACTGTCCCACTCAGTAGGACCGAAAACTCCATGGATGATCGACTGCTAATGTTAGCATTTTCTATCTCGAAGATATCGATCGATTGCTGTGCTTATCGTAAGCACATGACTCGACACCTATACCTGCCACCACTATAATGCTGCTCTCTCGTCTTTCGGACAACAAGTGCGCGCTCGTTCGCCCCATGGTCACGTGCTGCTCATCATCTATCCCAGCTTCAGATGGAAGGTGTCATGGGTGTACGTTGTACAAGCGAGATATTGACTGCAGACTGAAGGTGCCATCTTGAGACAACCGTCGATGTAGTTACACTAAGGCTCAATTGACCAGCATCGGACTCTCCCTCCGCTTTCATCGTATTGCCAATTCCCATCTGAGTTGCAACTAAACTCCAGTCAATACCACTAGGCGGCAACTCCTTCTCCACGAAAGCCACTACCTCACGACTCAGGCTCGTGAGATCAAATCCATTCTCTCCAGATAACCTCGATAGCCACCAAGCGGGTCATATCCATCTTCAAGCGGTTAGCTGGCGAGTCTCGACTCTTGACACGCTGTATTTCTTTATAGAGCGAATGTGCTTTTCCAACTGCAGGACCGACAGCCACAAGTATGCGCGATGCGGGACCATGCTTCCACGCAGCCGGTGGCCTGAGTCGCCCGTATTCAAACGTCCCAGTCCGCAACGCCAACGACCAACACTAAGACGCGTCATTGAAGTCCATAATCCTGCGCGAACTGTCACCGTTGCGACGAACTCAATGAACCATCAACTAGGCGGACGCCTCCTCATATATTCTACCAGTCTTGACACTCCTAACTATAGACACGGCACACTTCGATGCACCGGCACTAGGTCTAGCCTTAGTCTTCCAGGGTATGGGGATGATAGCGTGGGAGGCCAATCACCAACTTACGAAAACGCGCCATGGTCCGCGACCATTGCCGCATTCGTCCGTCTGTGGCATGTTGGGAGGCCAGACTCAGGCGCTCGTATACGGGAGCTGAGGTGTGTCGGAGGTCGCTAAACAACTTGGGTTTGTTTATCAACGCTCGCTAGCCTTTTTCGAGTTTCAGCAGCTGCGCCTCACAGAGGGATCTGCATCTGAAGCGCTAGAAGCAACGGCGCATGGACGGAAACCCAGTTCCCACGCTACGCAAGTGCCTCTCCCGCCCGTCTGTTGGGAAATCATAATTATCCATTATAGATTGCGCTGGCTACCCCAGAGGCAGGACACTTTCCGCAAACACCTTCACACTGGGTCTCAACATCTGCACCACAATTATTATCAACCACCAATGATGTCCACTTCCATGAAACACAAGAGCATACCAGCAACATTCAACGAAAAAGAGCCCGCTGCTACTGCAAAGTCTCCGAGACCCACATCCGCGCCGTACCCAAACTTTTCCAAACCTCTGGCAAAAGAAACTGCAGCTACTACAGAACCCAAACTAGTTGCCGCCGAAGAACTACAGGCCCGGATCAAAGCTGCGAGAAGGAGCAGAACCGCTACTCAGCCACTGCCTGAAGCAGTACGACGCAAACTCGACCATTCGTCCGACCTCATACACCCAGCCCTGCGCGCCAGGAGCGGCGTCACACCAAACTCCAACCGGCCCACCAGTCACAGGACCAAGAGTCGTGAAGATCTATCCATCGATGCTGTGATTCGGCGCCTGTCGATGGAGATAGATGGGCAGAACAGTACCAAAGGACGCCAACTTCCAGACGACATACCTCCAGTACCGACGTTACCAGCCTTTCCGCCCGCTGCGAGCTATCGTCCACGACCCCGCCAGACCGCGAGCAGAAGGTCTTCCATGACGATGAGACGAAGTCCCTTGTCAAATGTTTCGTCTCCGGACGGTAAGCAGGAAGACGTTGGTTCTAAAGAAGGATGCTAATTCTTAGGTATAGACTCTGCAGAGACTTCCTCCCACACATCCAGACGTACTTCAGCTTCTTCTCGTAAGCGTTTCTCACACTTCTCACACATCCATACTAATGCTCAATGTAGGCACATCCAAGTCCGAAGAGTCCAAAGACGGCGGTGACGATAACGACGAGATGGTACGAGTTATCAGTACAGAAACATCGAAAGCTAGGCTCGCAAAGCGGAAGCATATCTCGGAACCTCCGGCTGTATCTCAGCCCCCTCCCTCGATTTTGCGATCCACATCACAGCGGGCCAAGAGTCGGAGTTCATGGCACACAATTTCTCGACGCAGTATACTCTGCTCAGTATGATGACTCCACCTTCATATGTCATGCCATCGGCCTCCGATATATCGCAGAACATCTTTATTTTGCATTTCAGCGTTGTCCTACATTGTGCAAGGGGTTTTGGCAGCACGGCGCTTGGGACTGACTCTTGCTATCTGAAACTGTTTTGCTTTCACATGACGATTGAGAAGGATTTGAGCGTTCAAAGGGGCACAAATAGCGCAGGAGTTCTGGCGTTTTTTTCCATGTGTTTCAGCAGACGACATTACTGAGCATGGTCCATTGCAAATCTACGCAATTAGTCCGCAACATCAATTATGATAATCTTACGACATCACTCATCTTACGTCTTGCCTTATCTCTCTCTCCTCTATGCTCAGACGAAACAAGCCTCGCCTGGATCCTTCCATGCATCTCAAGCACGTTTATCGATGCAGATCCACTTCTCTGGAAGCAATACTTGTTCGACCTATGCAAGCCACCAGCCACAAACGGGACGGGCTCCGAACCTGGTCGGCAATACAGCAAGCTGCAGTAGTCGGCGCTCCGTTGGCCCTGTAACAAGAAATCGGACATTGTGCCGTATCAAACAGGCTAGTGAAAAGTGGTAGTTGCGCGATAAGGTGCGGCGCTCCCGGGTCTACAAGCCTAGCCAGCCAGCCATTGTGATCCAGGAACGTGGCTTTCGGATGCAGGGTTGCTATCTGCGGCCGGCACCACGGGCGTACGGTGAGACGGCTTATCCCAGTAACCATGATAGCAGACCATACATGCGATGATCGTTGACTCTGAATTTCTACGATGAGGAAGTAATGTACAACGTCTCCAAAATCAATGGGCGTCAGGTGGAGACGGGTATGGCGGCCGTTCCTGACGATCATCTGTGCTGGTGACGATGGTTTCGTTTACGCGAACGGCCGAACGTCCACAGAACGTCAAAGTCAGCCTCTTCGTCTGCTGGCTCGCGACCCGCCACCCCCATGTACAACTCATTGACAAATTGTCAGCTAAACCTTTACTCGTCTTCAGCAAGCTTTTGACGTCGTCACCGTCACTGGGGCAGGTGAACAGGCACCCGCAATCCGATTTGACATGGCGCGTTGCTACCAGGTACCGGGTCCATGACACTATTACCAGGGAAGAATGGATAAATTCTTCGGTCCCAGATTCGCGACACACGGGGGCCCCCTAGAGGACGTCATGCCCAGGGTCGATCAATAGCGCGATGCGACGCCGAGGTTTTGGGTTGCGGAGGCTGTAATGTTCAGACTTTCGGAACCGTAAACCGGAACTTTGGGATGTGCATCTTCAGTACCTGGATTCTGACGCGAATCCGAGGTCTACTTACTTTCGGCACGGAATCCCCGCGGTGATCACGATGGCGATCACATGCGCTACATGCAGGGCAAACTTGCACAACTTGTGCGACGCGCGTTATCGATAAGCCACTGGATCGAGCTGGAATTCACTCCCGAAGCTCCGCAACTCACTCCACGCCAACTCCATCCACCCCGCCATGAATCCCTCGGAGCGGACGAAAGAGGCACTTCTCGGTAAGTCCATTGCGCGTTCGTCTTTGACGACTGCCGACTCTCTACCGCGATGCTATGCTCACAGTAGAGCGCCTTCTGACGGTTTACCAGCCAAGACAGAAGCATTATGCAGCTCCATCATAGACACGCGCAAAGATGACCCTTGGGGCGGTGACGGTTACCTCTCAACCATACTCCGCGCTGTGAAGATGCAAGATGCGACCGACTACTCAGAAGACGATACGAGAACCGAGTTTCCGCCTGCATTGGACTATGCAACGTCTGCACAAAGGGAGTTATTGATTAGAGAGCAAAGTGCCGCACTGGTCAGTTCACA